TGATGAAACTGCCTGTAGGGTTTGCTAGAAATAACATGTAACTTAACATGTTTTTTTGGTCTGGTTGATAGAGTCTGGTGAAGATTTTATTATCAGTTATGGTGAACCCAAAGACGACAAACGGCAGTTTTGTCATAATTACGAGTATTATTTACGTACAATTAAATGGTAAAAAAAAATTTATCGAAGGAGAACTTACATTATGAATAAAATTGTTACAAACACTTAATTGTTACAAGGGTCTATATATTTAATTTTACTATACTTTGGTTTCTTTGCAACTTGTAGCAAAGTCAAACATACTGCTTTCAAACGGTATTAATGTTGAAAACAGAAAATTTGATCCTTAAACCCTAATTATTTACTGTGAACTGTACAAAAACGTTGGTCAATTAACAAAATGCTAAACATGAAGTCCAGCATCTTTAATTGAGTTCATGTGCGCTTCATACGGTGGCTTCATCACAGCCGTATTAAAACTGCGTTCTCGTATGTTTGAAGAAGGATAAATTCACATATCGTCTAAACTAATTAAAATATAATTACGTTTCTAATCTACTTTCTGTTTTCATTTTATTTATACAATTTTTCACAATGTGTCCACTGTACAGATGAGCATATACAATACTGCGAGGATTCGGGAAAATAGGAAAGCCAAAGTCACGGTTCTTGAGTGTTTAAATCGGCATTATAACAGCAAACCGTATTTCTAGGCTGTGCGGGTAGAGTAAATTTGCAGTCGCTTCTATAAGGAGAGAGATATTCTGAAATATTCATTACAAAAGATAGTTGTTCTGGAACAAGAACAGATCTGTTAGATTTTGCGCGAGTATGACCAAGTAATCTTTCTATGTTATATTTAAACTAATATTGAAGGCTTGCTACAGAGTCATTATCTGTCCTTACCATCTCGAGAGTAAGCGTGTAACGGAGACATGCTGCGCCAAATTGACTTTCCGATGTTTGCAAAGAAATTATGTAACTTCCGAAATTCAAGCCCACTACTCTTCCATTATATCCTTTATTACCAATTTTGGGTTGATAAGGGCAGTCAGCACGCTCCTGAATAAATTCCTTTGTACCATGTTTCTTTGGTGCAGAGTATCGTTATTAAAGTTCTGTCCAAATTTGCCAATTTATGCCATTCTGCATTAGCTTAGAAAGCATTGCGAATTTTTTGAATCTGAAATGCATGTCTTCCTGCGTTGTCTTGTCATTTCGTTGGCATCGTCTGTTCATGTATCTGATGCTATCAGTTGTCAAACTAGGTCTTCCCTAGAGGTCACTTACTTTCTGCTCATCTTATATTGTTTCAATAGTAAGCAACGTGTTTTCGAGAGACAGGCGTCTATAATATTTTAGCTAGCAAAAGGTGCACTACGATCCGCTATGATACATTTTCTAGGCTTGAACTACTCGCTCGTCTTTTTTCTATGCACCCCAACTGGTGGCATTGCTGGGACCTTGCTCTTCTACCTACATGATTTGCTCCATCGATGCAAGCATATTCCCAATCATCTCAATCTTATCGGTATAGGTCAGTTTGGGAAATCTCAATCCGTCACAAAGTAACCACCACAATAAGCATTTTACCACCATTGTCATATTACCCCACAGCTGTGGTATCCATGAGCTGTATCCGTATCTCGGTTAATGAAAGATATACCCAGTTGATATTTCGGATTCTTCTTGTTTCGCAACGGAAAGTAATTTGGGAGAAATACGAAACGAATCTAATGCATAAAAGGGCCATTTCCTCGCACGTCACTTGGCTGCTGAAGCACAATGTACACCAGCCTTTTTTCGGTCAGTACAAAGCAATTATCTCCCAGTCCCTGGTGAGCTATTTCCGTTGTGACAATGGAAAAAAGACAAGGTCTGCCCCCAAAATTCAGTTCTGGTATTCACTCGATAGAATTATAAAATGTCCTGTCTGGTCTTTTATCCAGAATGCTGTCAAAACCTGTCGGATGGCAAGACTTCATGTCTAGTATTGCCAAAAAATTTAAAGCTAATGTGTAAATTTAGAATAACACACCATGCAAATTCTTCATACAGCAATCGTATCTATATTGATTCTACAGAAGATTAACTTTCATGGGCTTTCTCAAATCCGAAAAGAATTCTTTCTACGTTGTTTATTATCGATGCTCATTTTCTTTTTTCCAAGCCATTTGTATTGGCCGGCATCTACGAGCAACAGATTAATGCCACAACAATACGACAGTTTCTTATACATTCCCTTCGAATTAATCATATCTTCTCAATGATACGGCACTTGCTACTGTCATTCAATATTCTAAGCCCTTCACCCTAGTCATTGATATGCACATTTAATGCGCAAAAACGTAGCATGATTTTACCATGATGACAAGAACGGCAGCAAGACGAACACACAAGCATCTTTATCATACTGTGCCTGGTCAATCATATTTGATAAGATAAAGAGTTTC